TTTCTCAAGTATAAGGAAGCGAATGATTGCTACTTGTTTCCATTATGTGTTTACAGCTAAGAGATGAAACACAGAATATTTGCTCTCATGTTCATCTAGTGCATGTCACGTTTGTTCGACTCTCACTAATAATCTTATATCGGCTAGTAAAAAAAGCTAAATCTTTCTGTAGGCGGATCGAATTATCCTAGTTCCAACAGTGAATTTATTCCAATCCAATTAATCGGTCGATTGGACAGATTCTATTTTTGCCGGAAGTTGACTGGAAACTACTTTTATCCGGAATATCTGAAGTAGCCATTTTTTCGCAGTCTGGATCAATATCAGTACAGTTAGAACTTTTTCATGGGCTAGGAACTTGTTTTTTTCCGCATCCGCGTCAATCTGTATATTCGAATTTTGTCGATGCAAAAAGCTGAGCCGATTCAGCTGAATCGATCCACACACACCGTTTTTCGCTTTTTATTTTTTTTAGCTATTACTGAGATTTTTGTTTCAGTTAATGGTGATCGTGGCATGCTCGTCGATGTTCCTGTTCGGTTGTCTCGGTTTGTATCAGTCCACGCTTGGCTTGGAACTGTCGGATGTTTTGCCGGAAGGAACTGCACCTGCAGCATTTTTGCGTGCCCGTGAGCAATATTTCAGTTTCTATCCGATGTATGCGATTTTGAAAGGCAATGAAATTGATTTTCCTGAGCAACAAGAACAAATCGAGCAATACCGTTTGGATATTGGTAAGGATTTCTTTGTCAATTTTCCCTAGGAATTATGTTTTTTATGGGTGTCCAGCGTATGAAAGCATCCCAGGTGTCGCAAGCACCTACGAAAGCTAGCGGAAATTTGAAAAAGTTTATGCTATACATTCATATCAGCATTAGACAATGCAAGGTGATTTGCATGCGAGTAGCATATATACGAATACTGGTGCTTCAGTTGCTGCATGGAGCACAAGAGCCGGTAGTGTAGTGGATAACATGTGGTAGTTTGAGAGGTGGGAACGAAGAGTTCGTTTCCTCCCCGCCCCGCTTCTGTTTTTGCAAAGGGTTCCGTTCACAGCTGTGGTACTGAAAACATTCAATTTCATTTCCTTTTTCTATAAATTAATTTCCTGTTTATGTTCGTCATGCCTTACTGGATCATTGCTGTCACGATTTATCCTGATATGAACCATCGATTCCTTGTCAAAATCTCGCGGTATGGACGCTCAATACTGCTGAGATACGCCAACAGAGTACGATCTTGAAACTGTTGTTGATAACAGATGTTTTAATTTTTCCAGCAAAATCGAATTACGTGATCAAAGTGAATGGGCATCCAAGCGAGGAATACTGGATGTCGATGATGAGAGCATGGCTAAATTCAATCCAAAAGCATCTTAATGATGCTCTCAAGAAAGGCGACATTGATCCGGTAACTGGCCAAATCAAACCTGGCGCTAAGATTTCCGAGGAAGCGAAGATTGCACGACGGTTGGTGTGCTCATACGGCAACAATTACAACTGCACTGGAAGAGTAAGTTCTTTAAACCATTCTTTTTCGAGTATCGGTTTTCACATATTTCGTAATTTTCGAGCCTAAAAATACTGTGAAACTAAAAAAAAATAGAAATAATAGGTAAAAATAAAATGAATTGGTACTCGCAAGGAGATAAACAATCATTGGAACGGCCTTTGAAGAAATAAAATGAAGCATGCTAAATGTAATTAAGTCAAATTGTTGTTGGGGAAAGACCAAAAATTGCCTATGTATGTGAGATGTTGAATGGAATGGGTGAAGCTGTTCACAAAAAAAGGAGAAATTGGTGCTAAAATATGCCAGGGAGTTAAACCAACCATCAGCTTGCTTGTAAGCAACCCGCAAAAGAGGGAATGGTTTGCTGGCATTCTCTGCACTCGGCTATTTCTCGAGTGTTTCCGCCGCTTGTAGAAAGCGAATGAAGAATGGGTTTTAATGTTATTTTGGTTTATTTTTAGATTAGCAAGATAAAGCTGGTGAATGGTGCTGGTTGGATCAATGCTGATGGATTTTATAACTATCTAACAGCTTGGTATAACGTCGACAATATGATGTACTACGTATCACAAGCTGCTTTCTATCCAACACCACCACCTTGGGCACTTACAACGGTTAGTTCTTTTTTTTTCCAGAATTCCAATGTTTTTTGTTCGTTTGGTGCGGACAGCAGCTGTACGAAACGTATATTGTCACGGGATTGTCTGTGTATATATAGGTGTGTATGTGTGTGTATGTATATGTGTGTATGTGTGTGTGTGTGCGTGCGCGTGTGTCCGCTGCATCTTGTTACTGCATTTGTTTATTACTGATGGATGTCATGTATCACTGAGTGATAATCGCTACCCTCATTTGGACGTAAAGAATATTAATACGACTTTACGCATATTGATCTCCTATATGTCGTTCAACTGGCTTACAGTGTGAGCATTTATAATTATCACGAAAAGACGCTCCATGCAACCTTCGCTCCTCCCCTCTCTCCGCCACATTCAGTGCTTTCTCTTCAGCTTTCGTCAGCTACCACGTTTCGCATCCGTATGTCATTGCCTTCAGCACAGTGGTACTGAAGAGGTGTGCGCGGCCTTTTTGCTGTTAATATATATCTTCTCATTGTCTTCCCTTTTATATTTAACAGCATTTGCTGTTAGTAAATGTTTTTTTTTTCAGGATGAAAGGGTTGTTCC